TGAAAATTATAGTGAATGTTTAAAAAGAAGAAATCTAAAGGCTATCTTTCCTTTGCCAAAGCTGTCTACACTGCTCTCAGCTACACCTTAGCAGCCTTGTAAGAAGAACCGAGAAGAGAATGGGTTGCTGGAAGGGGCAAAGGTCCTTGCTGTCTCTCACACTCTGTGAACTGTGTCACTCACTGTGACACAATGTGTCATATACTTGCTTTTATTCCCAACATTACAGACTTAAGGGGCAAAGGTATTGCATGAGCAGACCGATCCCCCTCTTCTCCCTTCCTCCCCAATTTTATTTTTTTTAACCAGTTCTATACAATATGAAACAAAAACTGTTCATGATAAAGTATCTTTCACATTTTAGCATCAATCTGGGGAAAGTGCTTATTTAAATTTTCAAATAGCAATGATTCTGTTGTATATTTCAGTGATGAGTATTTCTGCAGTTCTTTTAATCTTATCTTGCAAATACAGCTAGATCACAAAAGTCACGTATTTGACATCTTAGGAAAGGAGAACTAATTTATTGCATTGGTTTCTTTAACAGGTGAGATTTACATATTATCAAGCAGTAAAAGTATGACACAGCCTCACAGCGGAAAACTCTACAAGATCATCGACCCAAAAAGGTAAGCATCGCATTTCTCACTAAGATCAGCCTTTCCTTCAACAGGTTAAAAAACAAAAGGTAAACGTGGTTCTTTCCATGTAGCTGAATTATCCCACACTGACATTCAATAAGAAGGGAAATTCTCAGAGCAGGGGGCTTCCTAAAAGCAAACGTACCACCAGCAGCAAGCAGAATAGATTCACTAAAAGTAATCACCGTCTCAGTGAACGTCAGAACAACAGAGGTGTAACCAACACTAACTTCTGGAGATTTTTACTCTTCGACATTATGCTAAATGCTGCCCACTTTCCCACCTAGATTCACATGTTTTCATAGAAGTGTAGACATATTTAATGTGGAACCATATGGACCAGTACGGGTAAAAGATGCTCCTGGTAGTTCTGAAGCCGAATGACTTGTAGGTACCACAGAGGTTACGCAGCATCAATGGAAGGCAGATGCTGAAATTCTCCCCAACGCTACTGCTTCCTTACCTGCCACTGCAGTGGGACAGTGCACAACGGGAGCTGGCTCAAAAGGTTAGTACTGGCTGACAATACCTGCTCTGTATACTGAAAAGCTACTACAGACAATAATTTGACAGTACTAGCTAGTGGATAAGCCATCCCCAGTCAGTTCCAGTCTCACTTCCTCAATTTCAGTTTTGCTATAATCTCTGAGGGACAAATTCTGTCTTTCCCAAACATCTCTCCTGTTGTATAGGAGATACCACCAATGGAGAAAAATGCAGAGGACTGAATCCTCAGTGGGTGTGAATTGTCACAGCTTACTAGTTTTCAACATCCTTCCATACCCCTGCATTTACCTGTCCCTCCCTGGGGAGCTTTGGAGCACCAAGGAAGGAAACCTGTCCTTGGACTGTGTGCCAAAAATACGCTAAATTGTTTAACAGTTCTTAAAGCACTGTTTCAAAAAGGCTTACAAATCCCACTCAAATGATTTATAAGACACAGAATTAATACGATTGGTTTAATTATTTAGGCTAATTTACCAGTTGTAAAATTAGGATAAATGAAAATTATCAAACCAGAGTTTCTTGAGATGTGAGCACTTTCAGGTTCTTTGCAGAGCAGCTAGAGCTATGAAAGTATTAGGGAATCTGGAAAGACTGCAAAAAGCCAGTCCCCAACGTGACCCAAGGGCCCCAGCAACAATAAGAGAAGATGACTAGCAGATACTCACTTTAGCTGGAGAAATACCATTTTCTTCATGACGGATCTTGCTGCTCTATCAGACCACGTCAGCGGCAAGTAAAGGTACCACATCCACTCTGCAAAAGCATCAGCAATTAACACAATGAAACGGCCGACAGAAATGAAGTTTGTTGTATTAATTACTTTGGCCCCATCATACCCTGCAAAAGCAACTGCCTATTTGTTCAGCATCTACTTCAGCACGTTTCCCCATTAGCATCACATACAGTTAGACTTGCATTTTTGGTTTTGCTGTTGACTGTTTAAGAGAGGAATTTGCATTCTTCTCAGAATTTAAATTCTAAAAATTGTTACTGGGACAACAAGTTAAACCAATAATAAATTAATTAAATTGGATGCACATTGTACAGTAAGTTACAGTAGAGTTTCAGTGTGTTATAAATTATACTATCCCAAACCTATAGCAAGTAATTTGGAAGCAGATGTTACTGCAGGTTAGTGCAGTCTGTCAGTCAAGGTTATTATGTATGTTTTATTTATGCTTTCTGGTATTAAAAACATTTTTTTAGAACAAAACTCGCCATTCTTACTGGGATTGTTTAGTCTGTTGGTGTATGGTTTTAAGTGAATTTTACACCCTAAATCCACTATTAGTATCTAATTACATGGGGCTGCCTTGTTTGACCTCAGCTTTTTGTTCTTGTTACCTCTTCCAGTAGGGTGGTCTTCAGCTGACATACCTGAAAGGCCAGACCTCCCATTGCTGCGCTCACGGTTGGCTGTTTTCATGTATGGAAAAGGGTCAAGACTGTGTTTGGTTACTGGTGAAAGTAACCAGAAAATGATAAAATACTTTTGTAAATTGGCACACAGTTGAAATTAAACAGACTGTGACAAAGGGATATAGTTTTTGGTAACACTATTAGAAACAGGGGATAATTTTCATTCAGGCAAAGTTTTGAGTTTTGTTGTTTTTCAATCTCACACCATTGCAGGCTTTTAAGTGAAAGATAATGAGTTACTTCCACAAAAGAGCATTGCAGTTCTATTTACCATTTTATGATAATTTCACATTACACATGTAAACAATTTAAAAATTCCATGGCTTTGGCAAATGTTCATGTAAAGCTTTATTAAGAAAATATTAATTGTTATTCACATGCTAATATTTTTTTGCACGCTAAGATTTTGCTGCTCCTTTTAATGTCTTTCCCAAGGTATGTGCCATACAAATACATCAAATATAGGTGTAAATCCTAGCACAGTAAGCTTTCTAGAACACAAAATAAAGATGCTACAGGTGGGCTGTGAGCATCAGGTATTAATAAAGTCATCAAAGTGTTGATTTGTCATGTCTTAGAAATTCATTACTTACTAAAAAAAACCCTGTGAGGGGTGGCCCCTGGAAGACTCACCAATTTGCAGAGAGAGCCTTCCATGCATGGGGCCATGTAAAAGAACAAAATTATCATTCCTTGTGGTAGCCCCTTGCTGGAAATGAATAACTTCATGCAAAAACCAATCTTATTCTGCTAGTGGTCATTCATAAGCTGCTGCAAGCTTATGAAATTATTCCTTTATTCTAAATAATAAATTTTACATGAAGATGCAGGATTTGGTTTCTTTTGATCTTTGTAGAAAACTACTGCATAATCAAAGTTGTTCTCAAACATAACCATGACCCTGATTTCCTTGTCTCAAATATAACTTAAGAAAGAAACTACTTGGATATTGCTAGCAGTAGAAAAAAATTCAAAAGAAGTGGGCAGGTTAAAACATTAGAAGATCAGAGGATGAGGGTAATCCAGAGAACCCTTTGCATTAGTCTTCAATAATCAGCAATGGGAAAGTCCTATCCTAAAACAGGCCTTCACATGTAATAAAAATGAGGTGTTAAACTGAGGTGATGTATGACAAATTCATAAATACGACCAATGCAGAGGTTCTGAATCCCTCCATCATCAAGGCAGCTTGAAACACAGAATTCAGGGTACCACAGGAAACTTTTGTTCAGTTCCTCCAAATTCTTCATGTCAATAACTAAATAGCCTCACATCAAAAGCACAGAATTAAATAATCTTTCTCTTTGTAACAAGGTTGTTATAATGATATATTAGTACTTGGGAGCTCTTAGACAATGAAGTGATAAATCAGAAACAGAAAAGTTAAAAATGAATGTAAAAACCAAGTATGTGAGGTGCTGCAAAATACACATGTAATATCTATTACCAAAATCGAGTAGAGTGAGGAGTATAGGTAATAGCATATTTAGCTTTGAGATTGGAGGAGATGTGGGAAACCGTAAGAACTACAAACACATAAACCCAGCATTAGGTAAATTAGTTAAAATAGCAGACAAAAGAAGAATTTCTGAAGTTAAAACTGTGTCTCTGAAAAATATAGCCATTCTTTGATGGTTATAAAAAAATGTTATCACAAGTAAACTACTTTCCAGGGGTTAGGAACTAATGAGAAAATATAGGGAGACAGACATACACTTCTCAACTAAAAAGTAGGGCTAGTCAGATGTCCTGAAGACCAATGCAAATACTAGCATTTTATAAACTGTCTTTCTGATCAAAAAAGAAAACCTTTTTATTTTTCTACTTTCTGTTTTATAATTTTTCTGTCTCTCTCTCTCTGTTTCTACAAACACATACTAATATCAATCACAAAAACATTGATGAATGCACAGGAAAAATAGCTAGGTAAACAGCAACACAGAAAACATGTATTGGTCCAAATACTCCAGTTAGTCAATAAGAAAGAAAAAAAGGAGACAAAACCCATTAGAAAAGAAAAAGTAATCATTTTCTAGCATGATGAGAGGAGAAAATCAGCTGTAGGCAATATTAAAAATGCATATTTAAATAAGAAATATCTGCTGATAGCTTCATATCAGCTGTAATTTAAACATTATTACCAGCTGTTCTTTGAAAATCATAGACAGGGACAGACCAAGAAGTAAGAAAATAAACTTTGAAAGGTGGTAGAACAGCCATAATGTGGCTTTGTAAGTCTTCTTTTAGAACATTTCTATTATGATCACTTTTCTCTCTAAGCAAATTATAGATAAAATGAAAGAGATTCAGAGAATAGTACTCAAACTGACGGACAATGCAAAAGATTTCCATTTAAAAGATGAGACGAAATCCAGAAAAGTTTATCGGGCAGTCACGCAGTGCTGTATCCCTTGTGAAGTTTTAAGTGTTTGCCACCGTCGATGCTGTGATTCCAAAGGGGATGAAGAATTCTTTTGACCAGGACGGCTCACTGGAGCTAGCAGGTGATTTTTAGGAAAGAGGGCAGAGCTTAAGTAAGTGTCCTTGCACACGTAACGAGATTTCCTCTTCCTCTCCTTACAACACCTTATAGATCTGGATTTCAATATGTTTCGTATCAACAGCCAGAATAGCTGCTTTCCGTTGGATTGAAACTTGAACTTGATTCAAACCATCTCACTCCTCTTTCATGCCCCTCCAGAGTATGTAATTCCACTTATCATCCTTTCCATCATCACCTTCTGGGATTTCCGCTATCAGAGAGTATTTCCAAACAGACTGATTTCAAACACTAAGGGACAATATCTAGGGCATACCTCACTTTGACATTGCTCAGGCTCTTTACAAAAACATTTGTGATTTTATTTTTTAGTATGAGGCAAGAGTGTTTGAGGGTATGATAGAAGAATAGCATTTATGAAAGCATAGACCTCTTGAAGACTTTAATTGCTACGGACATGGAAACTCGGAAACATATGGTATTAGACTAATCTGCATCAAGATGCTCAGTTCTGATGGGTTATAGATATACTCTGAAGCTACTACTGGAAAGTCTCTGTAGA